GCTCTTGCTCAGGCTGGTTTCGAACTCCTGAACTCAAACAATCCGTCCGCCTAGGCCTCCCAGAGAGCTAGGATTACAGGCGCGAGCCACCGCGCCCGGCCCAACATTAAACAATTTTATCATAGTTTAATTTTGAAACAGTTTTAGCATCTAGGCAACTTTCAATCTGCAGAAATTGAAAATCTGGGATAAGAACATTAAAAATATGCCCCCATTTTTTTATTTTACCCAGACGTTTCTACCTCTTTAACCAAGTACAAAATAGGTAAAAGTTTGAGTTTCAGTATTCTTAATATTGCTTTCTCACTGACATCTGTCAATTTCTCAATTAGATAATGGAGTTTCAGGTCTATTACTAACTAGCCAAATGAACTTCAACAAGCTGCTTAAATTCTGTGTACTGATTTCTTATTCTTTCAAAGAGAAATAATAAAGCCAGATCCTCAAAACTGATAGGTGTATGATGAGAAAAGATAATATTTGCGAATAAATTTTGACAAAAGTAGAGTTACTATTAATATACCAAAATAAATTTATTATTATGGTGTATATATGTATGTGTGGGACAGGATTCAAAATAATTATAGGAAAATTTTTAAAAAAGCAATTATAGTTTAGTTGTAACACATCTGCCTTTAAGCATCAGTAGTTATACAGGACTTGGTTTTGATCTGCATCATGCATATATGTATATTATATAATAAATCATGAATGAGGTTCTACATTTTTTCTGTTAAAACCAAAAATTATAGCAAAAAGGCCAGAATGGACTCAACATCTAAGTTTAGTAGAATAAAGAATGTAAGGCTGCTAGATGTTTTTGATATCGTGTTCATTCATAATCAACAGTTACTGCTCACCTTCCTCTTATGCTGCTCACTATAGGTAGAAGGCACTGGTCCTGATGTAAGGAGGCCAACTGTGATTTTACCAAAGCTCTCCCACCAAGTATGTGCACAGTTTGTTCCCTCATCTCTCCTGTAGGTCTCAAGAGAGACTTCATTTTATTAGTGAGGCCTTTACTAACCATCTTATTTAAAATAGTAACCCCATCTTCCCAGTGATCTCTACCTGACTCTTCTGCTCACTTTCCTCCAAAATCTTCATCAGCATTTGACAGAATGCAAGTGTATTTCTTTATCTTCATCCCACTAGTATATAAGTATCAATCATGAAAGCAAAAATTTCTGCTGTATCTCTAGTGTTTAGATCTGTGCATTACACACATTGGGTGCTTAATAAATATTTGTAGATACTTGATCTTTATAAAAATTTATATACTCTCTAAATTACTTTTAATGTTATTAAAAAATGTGGGGGCACAGTTTTAGAAACACATTTTTAAATAGAGTTAGTATATCAAGCATATTTAATCTTACTTATAACAAGTATCTTACTATTGGGTTATTAAGTATGAAATGTCCAATTTCCTTAAGTACTAAGTTTGGTAGTCGATATCTGACATTTCACTGTGATACTTCTTGTTTTATTTTTATTGTGAAGGTCATCTTACTATATTTACACTTCTTTTTGGCTAGAAAATATTCTGTTAAAAGTATCAAGAAAAATCCATTTGACTTTTAGTACAAATTTCCATCTCAATGTTAAAAGGCACCACCATAAGAACTGATGACAATGTAAATAACACAGTGTGGTTTCACTGAACAAATATTAACTGCATATAGTGACATCTTGCCCCAAGATTTAAGAGTTGTGGTTTGGCTAAACCCAACTCAACTTCTTTGAAGAAGCCATATAATTGGCCTCTCAGAGGACAGGACTTATTGTAGTGCCACATTAAAAAAACAAACAAACAAACAAAAAAATCCAATCTCAATGCAAGAAATTAGCCATAAGACAAAGTTTGGGTAGAAGACCATCAATCCCCAATCTATAAATCTAAATTTCTGAAATCTTCTTGTTCAAAGGAAATTTGACAAATTTCCTTAACTATTATCTTAGAAACTGATATAATAAAATTTTGAACCTAAGAGAAATAAACAATATTTTACAAAGTAATACATTCCTCTTCTATGTAAATTACTTTATAGATGCATGACAGGCAATCTCAGAAGGGCACAAACTATTTATGGATTATTGTCCTATTGGTTAGCATTGCCACTACAGCTGTAATTCTAACAATACTCAGGAACGTGAGAGAAAAGTACCCACCTACTTAAAGAAGTAATATATTTGATCTGATTAATAAATAGGGAACTAGTTAAAAGATAAACAGATCAATGGCAGAACTGGACCAAAAAAACCATTTACTTAAAAGTTAAACTAAGTATATACAGGACCTCTTAGTCCTCCAAAAATTTAGATAACAATATTAACTTATTTTTAGAGGTAAATGTCCTTGGTCTAGTTCTCATTCTATCTACTTCAAATACAATGAATAAAGTCTTAAATTTGAAATATAAAGCACATTTTACTTTTTATTAATAAAACTAGTTATACTAGTTTCTGGAATGCAGTACAAGAGTAATTAATGTCCTATGTGTTCCATTCAGTACTTCATTTTTTGATTTAAGG